AATTTGAGAAGTTGGTAATTTGAGAAGATGGAAACTTGAGAAGTTGGAAATTTGAAAAGTTGGTAATTTGAGAAGTTGGAAACTTGAGAAGTTGGAAATTTGAGAAGTTGGAAATTTGAGAAGTCAAAAATTTCAGGACTACTAAATTTGCAAATTTGAAGATCTCAAAATTTGAAAATATATAAATTTGATAATTTCAAACTTTAGTACCTTAAATTCATCAAAATATAATTCAAAAACATAGTAAATCCACAACCACAAAAATTTGCAAATTAAAAAACATGAAAACTCTGCCCATAAAGTACGCATAAACCCACCTCCCATAAATACAACACACATCAAAGAATTTTCTATAAAAAGCTAAGTAGAAGTAAATTTTTGTGGCTCGACTCCACCAGAGAACGGATATCACGTAATATGAATTACGCCTTCTGGTTAATTTCAGAGGAGTGTAAGAAAAGAATTCGTTATTTTTCCAGCGGAGTATAACGTCAGAGATGGCGTACGTTTGTTCATGGCGCACGACAAAGCGCAGACTACAACAAAGGTCAAAGATCGTGACGTTCATGGTCATATTACCGGGGAGAATTATATCGTGTAGAATCGTAGTGTTTCCATTGTATTCATTAAGTAGATCGTAATTCTGATTGTTCAACTTTGTTCGAGGCTGATTGTTGAAACTGTGCTGAAATGTGTTTCAGGTCGACCTGCACAATGGCAGCTCTAGTAAGTCACAAAACATATCCGGGATATTCATAAAGAACGTATTGCCGAACAGTCCGGCTGGGAGAACCGGGGAATTGAAGGTAACGATTCGATTGATCGATATTGGATGACAGTATAAGTGTAGGAATCGAGTTTTGTGATATTTTGGAAAGATTCAAGTGAAAAGTATTTGAGAAGTACCTGAATATTGGAAGTTGAGGTTATAATATTATTTGAATGTGAAAATTTAATAATTGTGGATACTTGAGGTTGGCAATGAAATTTTTCAGGTACCTGAATTTGAATATGTAGTTTCAGTGCTACCTGAATGTGAAAATTCAAATTACTGAGGTACCTAATGTTCAGAATTTGTATATTGGGAGTACCTGAATTTGAAAGTTTAATAATGATAGGTATCTGAATTAGAGAATTTATATTGCCAGGTACCTGAATTTGAATATGTAGTTTTGATGGTACCTGAATGTGAAAATTCAAATTATTGAGGTACCTCGTGTTCAGAATTTGAATATTGGGAGTACCTGAATTTGAAAATTCAATAATGATAGGTACCTGAGCTACAGAATTTATATTCACAGGTACCTGACTTTGAATATCTAGTCTTGATGGTACCTAAATGTGAGATTTCAAATTACTGAAGTACCTAATATTAAGAATTTAAATATTGGGAATAACTGAATTTGAAAATTCTATAATAACAGGTACCTGAGTTTCCAAATTTATATTCACAGGTACCTGAATTTGAATATCTATTCTTGACGGTAGCTAAATATGAGAATTCCAATTATTCAAGTACCTAATGTTAAAAACTTAAATATTGGAAGTACCTGAATTTGAAAACTCAATAATAGCAGGTACCTGAGTTTCGGAATTTATATTCACAGGTACCTGAATTTTAATGCCCAGTTTCAGTGGTACCTAAAGATGAGAATTCAATGTACCGAAGTACCTTATTTTGTAAAATTAAATTTTGCTAGTACCTAAATACATATTTTAATAATCACAGGTACCTGAGTTTAAAAATTGCTCTTCTCAAGTACCTGATTTCGACTATCTAGTTTCAGTAGTACCTAAGTATTAGAACTTGAACTTTTTAGGTACCTAATTCTGAACTATTAAATTTATGAAGTACGTGAATTTTAGTAGTGAGCTTGAGAAGTACCTAAATTTGAATACCTAATATCTATGACTGGAAGTACTTAAGTTTGAGAATATAACTTGTGAGGTACCTGATTTCAAGAACTGTAATTCTACAAGTACCTAAATATGGAAAGCAATTTTTCACAAGTACCTAAACTAGAAAAGTAATTTTTTAACAAGTACCTAAATTTGCAAAAAAATTTTTCACAAGTACCTAAATTTGGAAAATAATTTTTCACAAATATCCTAAACTTGGAACGTAATTTGTTACAAGTACCTAAACTTGAAAAGTAATTTTTCACAAGTACCTGAATTCTAGAAGTCAAGCTGTAGAAGTACTTAATTTTTAAAATTTTAATTTGGTGTAAATTTTGTATTGCTCGGAGGAAATGAAATTATTGTATGTACTTATACTGTTCAATAAATTCATAAGTTCAGTTATCAGTTTCAATTGTCATGGTAGTCGTTCCGATAAGACCATTGTTGAATCAGCCGTACCACTAGTAGACGTTTACATTCAACGGTGGACAATAGGCAATAGCAATAAATGGATTATTGAGATTTCACGCGATATCGCGTTAGTGGGTACCTATTCAATATTGGCGATATCAAGCACGCGATATCAAGACATCAGACATTTGATGTCAATGTCGATTAATGGAAACTGGGTCAATTTCGAAGATTCGGAACTTTTGTATTTGGGAATTTGGAATTTTGGGAATTTGGAATTTTGGGAATTTGGGATTTTTAGAAATTTGGGATTTTAGGAATTTGGAATTTTGGAAATTTGAGATTTTTGGAAATTTGGGATTTTAGAAATTTGGGATTTTTGGAAATTTGGGATTTTAGAAATTTGGAATTTTGGAAATTTGGGATTTTTGGAAATTTGGAATTTTGGAAATTTGGGATTTTTGGAAATTTGGGATTTTAGAAATTTGGAGTTTGGGAAATTTGGAATTTTGGAAATTTGGGATTTTTGTAAATTTGGGATTTTAGAAATTTGGAATTTGAGAAATTTGGAATTTGAGAAATTCGGAATTTTAGAAATTTGGAATTTTAGAAATTTGGAATTTTGGAAACTTGAAATTTTAGAAATTTGGATCTTTGAAAATTTGGAATACTAAAAATTTGAAAATTTGAAACCCTAACACTCCTAAAATGTCTCAATTTCTAAACATTCCCAAAACGGCAATATACCGAGAGTCAGCTTACGAATACGCGATATCGCGTGAACAAGTAAATATTTCGAGCAAAACGTAGTATTATATGGAACAGGTTAACGCGCTGTTCGTTTCTGCTTACTTATAGATTGGAGATCGAATAATCGAGGTCGATGGCGTGGATCTGCGACACAGTACGCATGAACGTGCAGTCGAGGTCATACAAGCAGCCGGAAATCCTGTTCGTCTTCTTGTGCAGTCTTTGGTGCACCTGGTGAGACTTCGCCACGACCAGGAATATCAATGTCTACACTTTCACTTTCCCCAATTTCTTCACTCATCCTACTTCGAGTTCCTAATTAATCATAGTCGTGTATTTTCGCTTTGTTGCAAGCACGAATTGTATTAGATTGCTGCATACTTTTTTTTATAACAATTCGACAGCACAATTTTATTTTGATATTTTGATAGATCAATGTAATATGTATATACGTATAATTTAAAATGATAAAATGATTTTAATAAATTAATTGAATATTTGAAAATTATTGTGTTTTATAAAAGATATATATTTTATTATATACAATATATTTTTGTAATTTTTATACAAGTGTTGATATGTTTTTGTTTTAAAATTATTATTATTATATTCTTTGTAATATTTTAAGAGTATTAACAAATTTTGTAGTAACAAATTTGAATGTGTTTATAATAATTACTTTTTAATATATCTACAATAATATACTTTTTGCAAAATATTTATGATGTACTGACAGTACATTTATTATAACAATTATTTTATAAAATTCATGCAAAATTTTTGTGTCCATAAAAGTTTCAAAATGATATAAATCAGTTAACAATTATAAATAATTTTGCAAGTTTGCAGAAATGTTGAGTAGTAAGTTTTTTATGTTTCTAAAAAACGAACAGATTACAGCAATCTAATATATATTTCTATTCCTAGTTGCAGCCTTTGTTTTTTCCACTCGTTTAACGAAACAAAAGCTTCGCAGAGCACAGTCTATCAATTAAACTCTAATTTTGTTAGCTTGCACCACTAAACGCTTTCATCTCGTTCGTTGTTTAATTGTCCCTACGTGATTTGGTTGTTTCCACGTCTGTTGTGTAGTTCGAACACGAAAAGGTAGTCAATTGAAGTTCAACGATATTCGTACAAACCGCATAATATACAGGGTGCTTCAAAAATGATGGAACAACCAAAAAATGAGTGAGTTCACATAAGAAAATACTTCAAAAACATGAAATAAAATAAAATTTGTTAGCACATTATTTTTAAGAAAATTGATTTTTAACATCTTTTAAATATTTGTAAAAAAGTTTAACTTTACTAGTATTAATCATTAAATTTATTTGTTTAATAACATTTACTAAATCTCAAAGTAATGAAAAGTTCTCTCATTTATCATTTAATGTGTTATGAATGGTGTGCCACCATTTTTGGAACAGCCTGTACAACGTTGTATACTTGAACATGTACATTTTGTTAACACTGCAAAATTGCTTCACTTTACTTTACTCTACGTTACCGCACGTTTTATTTGCAAAGAGATTTCTGCTTCTTGCACTCTTTAATTATGGCGGAATACATGAGTACCTAAATTTGAGGATTTAATTACAGAGGGACTGTTTGAAGAGTTGATTGTAGAAGTACTTCACTTTAAGTATTTGACTATTTAACTACACAAGTACTTAAGTTCGAAAATTTCAGTTACAAAGCTAACTGAATATGAAACTTTAATTTCGCAGGTATCTAAATTGAAGAATTTAGTTTCACACGTACCTGAATTTTCAAATATAATTTCAGTAGTACCTGAGTATGAAAAATCGAACTTCTGAAGTACCTAATTATGAAACTTCAAATTTATAAAGTACCTGAGTTCCTGAATTTAATTTCCCAAGTACCTGAATTTCAGGGTTAAATTACACAAGTACCTGAATTTCAACATCATGTTTCTCAAGTACCTGAATGTTTAAATATAATTTCAGTAGTACCTGAGTATGAGAAATCGAACTTCTGAAGTACCTGATTCTGAAAATTTAAATTTGTGAAGTACCTAAGTTCCAGAATTTAACTCTACAAGTACCCGAATTTCAGTATTAAATTTGACAAATACCTGAATTTTAGTATTAAATATCACAAGTACCTGAATCTGAATATTCTACTTCGCAAGTACCTGAATCTAAATACCTACTTTCACAAGTACCTGAACATGAATAACTTTCCAAGTACCTAACTTTGGAAGTGTATCCTTAGGGTACCTGATTCCCATAATCTCAATTTGATAAGTACCTGAATTTAAAAAGTGAAGATTCGCCATATACAAATATTTGTTTGAGAAGTACCTGAGTTTGAAAATTTAATTCTACAAGTACCTGAATTGAAATACTTGACTCTACAAATATCTGAATTGAAATACTTGACTTTACAAGTACCTGAATTAAAATACTTGACTCTAGAAGTACCTGAATTAAGATACTTGACTCTACAAGTACCTGAATTGAAATACTTGACTCTACAAGTACCTGATTTCGAATACTTGATTTCACAAGTACCTAAATATCAAAACATAATTTTAGGTGCACCCAATACCCAAAACTATCGTTTCAGAAGTACCTAAATTATTATCTGAACTCGAGAAGTACCTAAATTAGTATCTGAGTTTATAACTCTATAACTTGATAAATACCTAATTAGAATAAACACTCGAATGCCATAAATCCATCAAAAATTCATGAACCGTATTCATCTAATTTACAAAACAGATTTCGCTTGCACCATCTAAAATTTCCCACGGTAAATATTTTGAAATCCGATCGCAAGACAATCGGAATTGCTAAAGGCTGTTTTTTGTTCCGCCAGGGTTAATCGCGAACACAAACTAAGTTTTGCGCTGCAAAATTGCAAGTGTTTTCCACTGCAACGAGATCGCCGGTGTAGCAGATTGCAACCAGTTTTGTGTCATGTTTCTAGTTGTAATCTGGTACGGAACAGCTGCGATATGTATATGTAGACTGACGCGTGTAAAATTGACGACTGGCGTTAATTCCACTCTGTTTTTTTTACGGAACAAAGAGTTTTTTTTTTGTTTTAATAAAAATAACGAACTCTATTTTAGATCGCTAATCGTACAACGCTCTGAAACAATTTTATACTCTCTCTCTTAAATTAAATTCATTTCGAAGGTGAAAACGTTTAAAGCAATTTCAAAACGAATTTTTCAAATACAAAATAGTTTTTATTATTATACCTAAGAGCTCAATTATACTTTTTCTATTATGTTTTTTCAAAATCAATATACTCAAGCAACACAGGGTTAAAGAAACAAATGAGGCAACTAAAAAATGTAAAATAAGGGATGTTTTTTTTTAGAAATTTTTTAAATACAAAATAGTTTTTATTATTATATTTAAGAGTTCTATTATACTTGTTTTTTTTTTTAATCAATATACTAAAGCAACAGAGGGTTAAAGAAACAAATGAAGGAACTAAAAAATGTAAAATAAGGGATGTTTTTTTAGAAACAAATAAAATAATTGATATTTTTTTTTTAAATTATATTTACATACAAATTTTTATAAAACTTGAAATTATATAACTGAGAACAACAATTTATTAAAATAATTTTTATTATTATATATAAGAGTTCCATTATACTTGTTTTTTCAAAATCAATAAATTCAAGCAACAGAGGGTCAAAGAAACAAATGAAGAAACTAAAAAATTTAAATAAGGGATGCTTTTTTACAAACAAATAAAATAAATGATATTTTTTTTTAAATTATATTTATATACAAATTTTTATAAGCTTGAAATTATATAACTGAGAACAGCAATTTATTAAAAATCATTTTATCAATTTGCTGATGATTGCATTTTAAAAACTAGTAAAATAAACCAAATGTCCTTTCAAACTTTATAAATACAAATTTGATGTAAATACAAATTTTTATAAAACTTGAAATTATATAACTGAGAAACAGCTATCAATTCAGAATCATTTTATCAATTTGCTGATGACTGCATTTTAAAAGCTAGTAAAATAAACCAAATGTCCTTTGAAACTTCATAAATACAAATTTTTATAAAACTTGAAATTATATAACAGAAGAACAATTATTAGTTCAGAATGTTTTTATCAACCTATTTGTGGGTGTTTCAATCTTAACTACCAAAGTTAAGCAAAATGACCTTACACAGCAAGCAAAATGTTTGTCAGAAACGTCTGCACAGTATTTCCATAGCGAAACATCCCCAGAAAGCCGGATTTCCAAACGTCAGATAAGCACGAATCCTTGAACCCTTCATCCTTGAATCTCGTCCCTGTTTCATCCCCAATAACACGGATTCTACAGCGACGACAGAATCTCATCGGACAAACAAGCAACCCTCGGAAACGTCAATCACAAATAAAATCTTTTACTCTCGGAAACGAATACTCGGTGCTTCGTGAATTCTTTGTATTTTGTGTTTAAACTTTCGAGAATCGAGTGTAAATATTTGAAGAGAAAAAATAGCAGCGGAAATACGTGCAGGATTTTAAGAACGGAACTGTTGGATCGAATTTAGAACTATTATGTACTGCGGAATGAGAGAGAGGCGGAATGAGATTTGGGAAAAATTGGAGTGGGTTATTTTAATTTAGATTTGCAAGGATTTTTGATTTTTGTTATATTGTGCTGGTGAAATAGAGGAGGAGTGAATCTCCTAAATTAGGGGTGGATATAGGAAAATAGGGGTGAGATGTGGCAGAATGTAGAAATTTGGGACATTTGATACTTTGGAATTTCTATTTGCATAATTTTGAGGTTTTAGGAAAATTGATATATTTGGATAATTTGGAGATTTTGGGAAAATTGAAATATTTGAGAAAATTGAAATATTTGGATAAAATGAAATTTTTGAAAAAATTTAGGAAGTTGAATAATTTGGAATTTTTTTTAGAAAATTTAGGAATTTGGATAATTTGGAATTTTTTTAGAAAATTTAAGAATTTCGATAATTGAGAATTTTATAGAAAATTTAGGAAGTTGGATAATTTGGAATTTTTAGAAAATTTAGGAAGTTGGATAATTTGGAATTTTTGGGAAATTTAGGGAGTTGGATAATTTGGAATTTTTGGGAAAATTTAGGGAGCTGAATAATTTGGAATTTTTGGGAAAATTTAGGTAGTTGGATAATTTGGAATTTTTGGGAAAATTTAGAAAGTTAGATAATTTGGAATTTTTGGGAAAATTTAGGAATTTGGATAA